TATATTTTCATCAGTATGATTTCGATATTAATATTTTTTTCTTGGCAAAGTGATCGGCGTGAAGATTCTTCACGCTCTCAATATATTTTTTATCCGCTAAAGAGTAATTAAATATATCCGTATTTTATATAAAATGGCAAACAAATAATCCAAAGTTGATTCATTAGAAGAACAAATTTCCAAGCTAGTAGTTGAGAATACTGAAATCAAAAAGAAGTATGCTGAAATTGAGGCTGAGTGCATAAAGTTGAGACAGATCATCAAAGATAGTTCTAGGCGTGAAGCTGAGCATGCGAAACTCAAAAAAGATACTACTAACCTCAAGGTTGAAAATGTCGAACTTAAAGCTAGAGTTGAGAAATTAGAACAGAAGCAGTTGCAAAATAATGAAGAAAAAAGCAACTATATAGTATTACGAAGTAATGATACTACCGCATCTAAACCAGATGAAGATATCAGGGAAATCAAGCAATCTTCAGTTAATAAATCCTCTACTGAAACGGAAAATCCCAACGTTACTCCTGAACAGACAGTTTCACAAAATAAGAATGTTCCGGAATCTGATATTTCTAACGACACTTCAAATTCTGATGAATCCAATAATACTTTTTTGGAATTATCTGAAAATGTAGATCAAGAAACTGGGACATTAGTACCATTGGAAAGCAATAAGTCTCAATGTTCTACATCGCCTTTATACACAGAGTCTAAATCATTAGAGGATAAGGAAATTTTTGATTTTCTGGTTCGGGTAGATAAAGAAGAGGTTAAAAATATGATGGTAAAGAAAAATAGGGAAAAGAAACTATTACGAAACAATGAAGATCAGGATGCTTCGAGAGAACCTATTAATCAGACACAAAGTACCATTTCTTCTGAAATAAAAATTCCCTATAATCAAAAGGTTGAACAAGGTTTAATATGTGAGTTATCTACATTAATTAACAAGAAAGGCCTTTCAAATTCCATATCTGATAAACAAATTCTTGAAAATATGTTAGATGGAGATGATTCAACTCTGGGTTCTGCATCACATTTGGCCCATTTATTCGACAAGGCTAAAAAAACTGGTCAGAAAGAAATTTTACGTTGGTATTGTTATAGTGAGGAATTCGAAAAAAAGGTCAGAGACATTAGCTTAAAAAATGAACTTAATGATCAAATGGCGAGAACACGGATTTATAATGAAATGGAACCATTTCTTCCTGACATCAAGAGAGAGTATTTGCGTAAGAAAACTCAAAAGGCTAGAAATATTTATACATTGTTCAAAGAAATAGGAATAGATAAAATCAAGCAAGTTACATATAGTGCCGATGCTATTTCTAGTTTAACTGGTGCTCAAATACAAAACATAATAAAGCTTTTCTCTGAAAAACCTAATGTAGTATTAGTTAACGAGCAAACTGAATGTCAAAAAGTGATCAGTGTGAAGAATCTTCACGCGCAAACGACCAAACCATCTAATACAAATGACATATTAAACATTGAGGCAAGTATACCTACTAAAACATCTCATGCCTTCGATTCAAAAGATAAGGTAAGTATATCATCCGATTTATCTCCAGAAATTGATCAAAATGTTGTCGATGATGAAACTGAAGATGATAATAAGGAATCTTCTGGTGATAGTGATGATGAGAAGGAGGGTATGGACGATGCTGACAATGATGATAAAGATGATTCAACTAAGGTAAATACTGCACATGACCATGCTTACTTTCGTAATAGATACTATGGCAATATTCTGATCTATATAAAACATTTATTACTGAAAAATTTGATTACTATGATATTATTGAGGGA